AAAGAAAACTTCAATTATGACAACCTCTTCTTAGAGAAACCATTTAGTATAGTTAGAAATGACATTCACTCACCTTTTGCAGGCATTCCAGCACCTTGGCCATGTAGGCTTCCTGGCATGGGTAGGGCTGGAAGGGGAAATCCACTGTGATCCCATTCAGAGTGATCCTGGGCATGGCTCCTTCCCTGAGGTGCCTGTAAGGAATAGCAGACCATGCTGACCCTGCTGTGGTGGTGATATCGTGCCAGGATAAGGCTGAAAGAGACCTGGAAGTTCACCTCATTCGACCCCATTCCACTATGCCAGGCTGCTCCAAGCCCCATCCAACCTGGCCTTGGACACTCCCATGGATCCAGGGACAGCCACAGCTTCTCTGGGCACCCTGCGCCAGCGCTGTCACCATCCTCAGAGGGAAGAACTTCTTCCCAGTATCACACTCAGTCAGGCTGCAGCGTTCCCCTGGGTCCAGCCATGCCAGGCCCGTGTAAACAGCCTCCTTCCACCTCTCCTGTTGGCCCCTGCGGGCACGGGAAGGAGCAATTGGGTCACAGCGTTCCGGGCCGGGCCGGTACCAGCGGCTCCGCAGGAGGGTCACGGGCACTCAGCATCCCCTCCCGGTCCCCTGCTCCCCGGGGCTGCACCGCCCGCTCCGGCCCCTGTTCCTGCGGTCCAGAGCTTATGGTGGAAAGCCAGATCCCTGTGATCTAGGGCTCCCATGTCCCGTGTCCCTGTATTGCTCTGTCCCCGTGTCCCCTCAGTCCTGCGGTCCCTGATCTCTGTGCTCCAGGACTCCCATGTCCCCATATTGTTGTGTTGCCGTGTCCCCGTATTTCTCTGTCCCTGTGTCCCCGTGTCTCCGCCTTCCCGGCGGTCCCAGATCCCTGTTCTCTGGGAATCCCGCGCCCCCGTGTCCCCATATTGCTGTGTCCCCGTACTCCCGTGTCCTCACATTGCTGTGTCCCCATACTGCTGTGTCCCCATACCGCTGTGTCGCCGTACCGCTGTGTCGCCGTACCGCTGTGTCGCCGTACCGCTGTGTCGCCGTACCGCCGTACCCCCGTGTCCCCCTACCCCCATGTCTCCACACCGCTGTGTCCCCGTACTCCCCTGTCCCCGTGTCCCGGCGCTCCCTCACCTCCCGCTGCTCCTTTCGGAATCCCCGCGCCGCTGTCACGTGCCACAGCCCCGCGATCCATGCGTCACTTCCTGCGCGCGCTCTCGCGAGAGCGGCGGCGTTGCCCCGGTAACGGGCCGGGAAGGCGGCGGCCATGGCGGGCCCGGGCCGAGGCATCCCACTGGAGCCCGGGCCGGGGTGTCGGGGAGCGAGCGGGGCTGGTGGCGGCTCATGAGGGGCCCCGGGCAGGAGCAGCGCAAGCCCGGTGGGGTTTGAGCGCTGCCAGGTGTGAGGGAAGCCGGTTCCGTTCCCCAGACAGGCCCTGTGGTTCAGCCGGACGGTTCCGCAGCCGCTTCCCCCGGGGCGGAGGCCGAGCTTGGGCCCCGGAGAGGCGGGATGTGGCTGTTCGCTCGCCAAAAGCTGCATTTCCAAAGCCTCGCAGCCCTGTAGGGTCCCCCGCGGCAGGGCCCCCCGGGAGTGGCGTTTGTCCCCGTTTGCAGGGCTCAGGACGTGCGACAAGCGCTGCCCTCGGGCACAGTTCGTGTCCCGGGCCCCGCTGCGCTCTGTGCCGGCCTCTGCTCCCCGTGGGCGGCGCTGCTCGCTGGAGAGGGCAGAACGCAGCGGGGTTCTTTGTGAAACCCTCGGCGTTTGAGGTGGGAGGGCTCTGTGGCTTTGTGCTGAGCTCCTGCCATAGGAACGGTAATGAATTCTGACGGGTCTCTTTTGTTAGGGGTGAATGTGCCGCGCCTTTGTTCCCGGCTTTTCTGCAGCGCGGTGCTCCCACCCTTCAGTCCCCCGCCAGTGCATCCAGGCACATCCAGGACCGGCTTTGGCATTCCAGGTGCTCAGGCCCTGTGACTCTGGTGAACTCTAAAATAATGGATTATCCACTTTTGTAAGAATTTGCTTTCAATAAATGCATAAGCATGGCTTACTTGTGTCCCCGAATTTTGTAAAACTGTGTTTTATGCAGCTAGATGAGAGAGAAGGCCGGAAGAAAATACTTTGTACTCATCTCTGTGGTTTATTGCTGTGTCTCATGCTGTCACTGCATAGATGTAGAACAGGATGTGGCTTCTTTTATTGTAGCTTTAAAATGCTTTACTCCTGGCCAGCTGCACAGCTTGTTTGTGTGCAGAACAGTTCTGATGTTAAAAGGTGCAAACCTTAAACTATGTAAGTTGAGCTTTGTGTGGTCTGTTCCGTTCCCAAACTCGTGGCACCTCCTGTGTCATGGTGTCAGGTCAGGGGAGCTCATGGGTGTTACTCTTTTGGTGGCCAGCCTTTAAATTCCTGGAGCTGAACTTCCCTGGATCATAAACTGTCTTTAATTGCAGAGAATGAGCAGGAGAACACTGAGTTATTGCCGTGGAACTTTGTGTTCTCCACACAAAATTTAACAGCTGTTTTTGCTCATGTTTCTGACTGCAAACTCTTTAATATGATACCAGTCACGCATGATGAAGCTGCAAATGAAATTACATTGTAAAGATGGTGAAATGAGAGTGTGAGATAACTTTAAGGAAGAAAAAATAAATTTAAAACTCCTCGTAAATACATGGAATACTCTGTTGTTGTTATTTCCTGTAAATACATCTTTCCCACATGGAAGAACAGTATCAATAGTGTACCAAAGGAGATTATTGTTCCTTATTTCAGTGCTGCTGCTAGAAGCAGTGTCACCTGCAGGGAGAGGGGAGCCGGGAGGTGCCCAGCCCAGGCAGGAGCGGACTGTGACTCAGCAGGTGCCCAGCAGCAGCCGTGAGTCAGCACCCGCAGCTCCCGGAGCTGCTCCTCTGCACCAGTGACCTCACCTGACCAGGGCTGCAGGCTGCCTCCTCTCAAAACACAACACAGGAAATGCATTGTAAGCTTAGAGAGAAAAATACATTCCTTGTTGTGGAGGTTTAGTGAAGCTGCAGTATCTGTTGGGATAAAGACATGGTAAATAAAGGTGTTGGTCTCACACTGGATTGTCATCTTGGTGTTTGTCTGCCTGGGATAAACCCTGAGTTCTTACAAAGCCAGAGTTTGGAGACGGAGGATTTCAAAACTGAGCAGCACAGAGAGTTGTGTGACAGCCCAGCCAGGAGGAACCAGCCCATCTCCACTTCCCACTCATTCCTGGGTTTTAAGATTTGGATAAAGTATTTTTCATTTTCAAGAAAAAGAAAGACCGTGTACAAAATAAAAACCTTGTGAAAGATGGTCCTTAACCTCTGTGGGGAAGAGGCTGAACCACACTAGCAAGGAGAGCACTGTGCTGTGCAGAAGTGCAAAGTGAATAATGGCCATGTTTGTTCAGAGGCTGCCCAGGCAGGGTCTCTCTTTCCAGATGTGATCCAGATGCTGCCAGAAGAACAGGACCCTTCAGGAATGGGACAAGAGAGCCATGAGGGCCATCTGTGAAACTCCTGTGGTTGGCATGAAGGTTATTTACCCCTTTTCAGATAGAGGAGGATTGAGTTGCCATTTGTTGTCATTCTGAGTCTTTTGTTTGCCCCCCAAATTATTTGATTTCTTTCAATCCTGATAGTCCAAAGCCATTCACTCCATTTACTGCTGGGAAATAACAACACATCTTTCCACCTTGACCCTCCAAATCATTTGCTCCCCTTTTCTCACACAGTGTATTCCAGTGGGACACACGGCCATGGCACCTTTAAATCATTTCACATCCCTTCCTCAATAAAAGGAATAAAATGTGTGCTGGATTGATGCCAAAATATCCAGAATGTTGCAGGAGGTAGCCAGACCCTCTTGGGACTGCTGGGAATATCAAAGGCAGAGGTCATCCTGAGCAGAAGGGGGAAATCTCTGCCCTGGTGCAGGTGCCTGGCATGGCTGCCTTCCTCTGATCATGGCAAAGGTGGTTTTGAAACACAAGATAACCTGTCAAATCCTGGAGATCCAATCCAAGGAGAAAGCAGAGAGACTTGGAACTACAAAACAAGGCTTGGACAGAACAGGGAGCAGTTAAAAGTCATTTAAAAAAAACTTGCAAACAAATTTTGAAAATGTGTGGATGGTGTTCATTTTATTGAGTTAGACATTTTCTCTATTTTTCTTCTATGACAGTGTTATGACACTGGGAGACTGGGGAAAAATTAGGAAAGTAGAAAAATCTCTGGTCTTTCTAAGTGAATTTACTGTGGTTTCTACCCCTGAGCAAGCCAGAGCACTGGCAGGTATTCCAACAACCTGTGGTTCTCTGCAGCAGCTGGAATTGTTTGGGAGTGTCTGCATTGCAGCGTGCCAGGGGATGTGTGGGTTTGGGAGGATTCCTTGCTCCCAAGTGTGTGTGTGTGCTCTAAAAGCACAGAAGCATTGGCCCCTGGCAGTACCCAAAAATGGAAATTATAGAAATTATAGAAAACAGACAGAAAATTATAAGAAAAGAGGTCCTGATGCCTAGGGACGGGGAGAAACCCAGAGAATCTCACTGAAATCAAAAGGCTCCATTCTGCTCTTTCTCCTCTACTTTTACAGCAGTTTCCACCTCAAACTGCAGCTCCTTTAGTGCCTCAGTGCTGGTGCAAAAAAAAAAGAACTAATCCCATGCCTAAAAACCTGCTGGGATCCCTCCTCCCTTTGCTGTTTGCCTAAAGCTGCTGCAAGGTTTGGGGTTTGGGTTTCACACCTCAGCCCAGTCAAGCCAGACCCCCGACCCGGCCCTGCAGGTGAGGGTTAAAAAAAAAAAAGAAAAAAAAAAAAAAGAAAGAAAAATAAACAATTATTTTGCTTAATTCTGCTTTCAGCAAGGGAAAAAGCAGTTTAGCCCATCTCGAGCAGACAAGAAAGGGAGGAACAGGAGGAAAAAATCCTCTTTTGCCAGCGCCCGGCTGGGTGTGTCTCACCCCCCCCCCCGCCGTGGGGCTGCGTCCCTGGCAGGCAGGCTTGCCTGGGAGGGATCTGCCGTCAAAGCCACCCAGGAAAGGAGGCCTGATACGCTCATTAATATTCTGAACTAGTGACCCTGCTTTTTCTTTCCGCCCCTCGCCTTTCTGTGGGCGCTCCAGCCTCTCCCCGCCGCGGATGGCTGCAGCCCCCTCCAGCTGAGTCAGTCCTGCCTCCCGCAGCATTGCAGCACCTCCGCAGCTCCTGCGCTCCCGCCGCTCCTGCAGCACCGCTCTGCTCCCGCCGCAGCATGGCCAGCACCGTCTCAGGTAGGACAGGCGCCTTCTCGGGGCTTGACATCAACGCGCTTCTAAAATCATCGAGTTTTATATGGTTTTTTATCATTATTCTGAAGGTTTGGATTGGTTTTTTGGGGTTTTTTTTCCCCCCCCCCCGTGGGTTTCGGGGGAGTTCTGTGCTGAGGAGGCAGCTGGTATGGCAGCATTGTTCCCCTTCCTCCCCCATACACACACCCCTCTGATGCAAGATAGCAGGTGGGCTTTTTATTTTAATATGAATACACGTGTGATAAACTTGCCAATTTAAAGTATTGCTGCCATTTCATTGTGCCATTAGAAGATGCTGCTACGTGCCAATTAAATATTATTTTTGTAACGTCGTAGAGCTTTTTTTCCCCCTAAGAAAAAAAATTGCACACGGTGCAGCTGGATGTAAGGAAATCAGAAATTACATTTTGTTTTGGGAAGATCATGCATTGCCTAATTGGGTAATGCCCTAAAAAATCCTCCAAAGCCAACTAGAAGAACCTAGATGGGTTTTTGTGTATTCTCCGGGCTTCCCAGCCCCAGATTTCTTGCACAGCTCACATTTCTTGGTTCGAAGATGCTACAGGGGAGCGGTCCTCTGATGGCGTTGCGTGAAATGAGATGCTGCAAGGGAAGCCCTTCCTCCCTCCTGCAGCAGTGCCTGCTCGGGTCTGCCTTCAGGATGGCAGCCCAAGGATGCTGTGCTGCTTCGGTCCACCTTCCTACAGACCCATCTTGCCCCCTTTGACTGGGAAAGAGAAATTCAAGTGGCTGAAACTGGGAGTGTGGGTGAAGGAGAAGCTTGAAATTGTACCATGAACAGTGGGTGGGTTTAGAGGGTCTTTTTCTTTTAGAAAACCGATTTTTTTTTTCTTGGAATGACTCTGAATTCTGCAGCCTGCAAAGAGGGGCTTGGGAGGGGGGAGTGAGATGCTGGAGGGCTGAGCAGGAGTGACAGACAAAAAGGAAGAGCAGGCAGTGCTTTGTGCCCCCCAGGCAGGGAACCAGCCCGCAGGAAACCAGGCAACACTTCTTGCTTCTTTCCCTGCCCTTTGCCGAGGTTTCCTGCCGTGCATTTTCTATTCCTTGCTCCTTTTAAAAGACCAGGAGATGCAGGGGGAAAGAAGGACAGAGGGATGGAGGGGTGTGTATGTGGGGGGAGTATAAGGGCGCAGCTGATCCTGAGTGGGCTTTGCATGCAATTAAAGACATAAAACAGCTCTGTAAAAACGTGTTTATGATAGAAAACCTCCAGCTATTGTACATATTCCTGCGAGGATCCCTGTCTCGATGAGCGTCTGCAGCAGTGCACTCCTGGGAGGTGCCACCCATCTCCTGCCTTGCCTGCCGAGCAGGGTTGGACCTGGTTTGCACAGCGGGGGTGGCAGGCAGGGCTCTGGCTTACCAGCCCTCTAAACCAAGGTTGCACCGAACTTGAGATGGACGAGGTGGTGGATGAGACACACGTAGGCAGAATATGCGATTTCCAGTTGGTGCATTCTCACCCTCCCAGCCCACTGCATGCCCACAGCACATCTCCTTCTCTCAAAGATGCAGTTTTACTGTAAAGAGACTTAAGATCATGAAGAAGCGTGAAATGGGGCTTTCTTGTGGCTCAGATCAAGCAGAGAAGCAATTTCAAGGAGTAGAAAGAGTGCTGTGGCAGGAAGGAAGAGAATAGGGCGCTGTGTGCCAAGGGAGGGTCGGGGCTGAGCCTCGCCCAGCTGCCTTTGCAGGAGCAGCTCCCCATCTCCCCATCGCCCACAGCTCGCACAGCAGCAATGGAGGGCAGCCTGGAAAAGCAGGAGAAAAAGAACTATGAATCCTTCAATTAACGAATGAGTCTTGTTTGCTTTCTTCATTATTCCTTCTTTATTCCCAGTTCCATGCGGAGGGCAGGGCAGCTGCAGTCTGCGGCTGCTGCCCGGAGGCTTTTTAACCCCCTCGGGAAGATCCGCTCGGTTTGTTTAAACAAACAACCAAACCCTGGGCATCAGAAGGAGCAGGGCTGCCCTCTCTGTTTCCCCCCTGTGCCCTGGGGCGGTTTTTCGCGGCCCCGGGGCTGTTTCGGGGCGGGATGGGCGGCACATGCTCAGTGCCCGCGGGGCTGCGGTGCCGGCCCCGCTCCGGGCAGGGCAGAGCCCCCGCGCCTCCTCCCGCAGCATCCGCACGGGGCTTTGTGCCTTTGTGCACCTCGGAGCGGCCCGCCCGGCTCCCCGGGGCTGCGGGACTCCCCGCAAGGCTGGGTGAATAAAGGGAAGTGAGATTCTGAAATGATGCAGAAGGTGACATCCCCACAGGCTGTCTCCGGCATTGGCGTGTCTGGGGAGGGTGGAGCCAGGAGGAAACGCCAGGCTGGCGTTCCCGGCCTCATCACTGGGCATGGGAAATGGGCCTTGGCAGAGCACAAGGTTTCCCTGTCCTGCACTGAAATGTGAGAGCTGAGGGACTTCATGTGGCTCTGGGTTATCCCCTGATCCCTTTTCTGGGTGGTGTTGAAGGACACCATGTGGTGTTGCCCTGTCCTGACATTTCTACTGCCCACGCTGGAGAGTCAGAGTCCTTTCTATCCAGCTCTCCATCTCTCTGTGGTCTCAAGAAATAACTATTATATTTTTCTTTGGCTGTTGAAAAAGGCTATATGGCCTTAAAAATTATAGGGAATTCAGTTTCACATGCCAAAAGAGCCTATTATTGTAGGCTTCCCCCCCCCCCCCCACCATTGCACCCAAACAAGGGATCTAAATAGTTAGCAAATACTTGTTCTTTCTAAAATATAAATAATATCTTGTTTAATGGCAACATGTAGACTCAGGGAAGACGCTTCAGATATCTCAAAGGAGCCCTTTCTTGGAATCTGTCATTGTTAGTTCAGATCTGGTGAAGGCACTGTTTTATCAGATGAACACATTTTCCTTCTTTTGAGTAAAAGCTGAGATTTAGTGGTCTGGTGTGGCAACCAGAAGGCTGCAGATAAGCCCATTGTGACAGCAGTGTGGGCAGCAGAGGGGTGAATGAAGCCAGTGATTCTTCATGACAATCCTTGGGGGGACCTGAAACTCATTCAAACTTCTAGACCCCTAAATTAACTGGAAAAACATGCCTGGCTAATCCCTCACAGCTGTCCTACTGACATGGGCTTTACTCCTCCAGATGTGAGTTATGTTTCAAAAATTAAAGTCTCCCCTCCAGAGGGGAGTTAAACCAATGGGCTGTGATTTAGAAAATACAAAAGAACCAAAGGGCAACCAAAAACCATGTGCATGTGCTGTGGCACTTCAGCACCTCCCAAATGGTAAAGAGCTGCTCAGCATATTTCCAAATAATCAGTTTATCCTTTCAAGGTACCTCTACGTGATTACTGTCCTACTAGAGAATCTTATCCCCTCTGAAACTGTTAATACAAATAGTTCCACTATATAATGGGGAAATACAATAATCCTCAGTTAATGGGAATGAAACCAAGATCCAAAGAAGCCAAATGACTGTGGTTACAGAGCACATCATGGCACATCACACACCTGACACATCATGGCACTGGGCTCTGTCCTTGACTGTCTCATGAGCTGCTGCCTCATCAGTCCCCAGCTCTTTCACAGCTCTTTATCTCACCCAAACCTCACCATCCAAACCCGTGTTTGCCTCAAATCCACAAACACTGGGTTAGCTACTTCCATTGGGCTCCTTCCTCTGCTTCATAAAGCAACCCAGGCCATGCTTCCCTACATCCAACAGCAACCCCAGCCAGGGCTCTGCTCCACAGCTTGGGCCCTTCTCTGTTGCTGAGCCCATGCAAGAGGAGATTTCCCTGGATATTTTCTCACATGTTCCAGTGCTGCAGCTCCAGTGATTTGCTGATGCACAGCCCGGGTTGTTGTGACATTAATGAGCTGCCAGTAAAACCTGGGGGGAAGGAGGTGGGTGATTGGAAACCATTCCTGGGCAGTAGTTTAGCAGATGTCTGACAGAAGGCAGAGTAAACCTCACATCTGCCTGCTCTCATGGATGATTCCACATGAGCCCATGGCAACTCCTGGGCCTGGATCTCGTGGTACCATCAGTGTGGGCTACAACTACTGAGCTGGCAAGAAAAAACTCCAAACCCCTCAAAAAACCAAAAAAAAAAACCCACACCAAAAAAAAAACAACAACAAAAAAAACCACCAACCAACCAACCAAAAAAAAAAAAAAAAACCAACAACAAGAAAACCCCCCACAAAACAAACAAAAAAAACCCCAAACAAAACCACATTAGTGTTTTCTGGCTCTGTAAGGTCTGCTGCTGATTTGTTTATAGAAGCTGGGGAGCAGGAAAGTGGAAGTGCATTAGACTGAAGATCTGGCCAGTATTTTTATGATAGGATTCATAGCAGGGGAGAATATCTGGAGCCTGCTGTTCCCTCAAGTCTTGTTGAGGACTCTGGTTGCTTTTGTTGTTTGTGTGGCATTGCAGTCTCTGGAGGTCTGGAGTGCTGGAGGTCTCAGTTCTGTCTCTCTGTACCTTCTGTTTAAGCTTTGACTACATTTATAATTGGCCTGTTCTTCTTTTTGCATGAGATAATATTCATTATGGAAGCAATTCTTACTTCTCCAAAGTTATCTTCGCAAACCAAATTATTTTCTTGTAATAACCTTCCTCTGACCCTGCTATCAGTCAGAGCACATCCACTCTCATCCATTTAAATTTCCCATAAATTAACCTTGCTCTTCCTCTGCTTCATTGTGACTGATGCCATGTCGGTGTTGTGCTGAGATGGCTTCCCTCTATTTTGATGGATGCCATTAAATACCACCCCAAAACCTGGCAGCAGTTTAGCTTTATGTATTTAGTAAATAGAGAACAATTTTTTTTAATGAATAATAGGTTTCAAGCCCCACCATCCAGGCAAATCATGAGCAGGAAAACGAATCCTACTGCTCCTGCACCACGCCATTCCCAGCTGTTCCTCCATCTCTGGCACCAGCAGCACTTGGGGAGCAGCTGGATAATGTCTCCAGGGCTTGGCTTGGAGATAAACACTTTACATGGATCGATGGTGTGCGCAGCAGAGGGGATGTGGAAATGCAGGATGTTCCCTGCAGAGGGAGCACAGGAAAGGAGATGCTGGAGAGAGCTGGGAGCACCCTGGGCCTCCTGGTGCCTTGGTGAAGAATCAGGACACCCGGTGAAAAAATGTAATAAAGATTGATTGGCTGATGGGGTGTGGGGTGGGATACAACCAAACCAGAATCAGTGCTGATTGCAAGGCATAAATGTTCATAAGGGTTGAGGAACTGGCTGTACCTTTATGGATTGTAGCTTAATCGCTGCTCAAATTCCTCTAAAGACAACAAAATGTGAGTTCACGTCACTTTAGAGGATGAGACACTGATATATTTTATCTAACTTCTGAAGTTTATTCACTTCTTGGTTTACACAACTCAGTCATTTGCAATGTTTCACCCCAATTCTGATGACAGCAGTGAAATGTCATGACACAGTGATGAAGATCCTACCAGAGTGAATAAATTTGCTGCTGAGGCAAACGAATGAGAATGAATTTTGCTGAATTTCTCCTTCTATTGCAGTGTTTGCCTTAAAAGAGAAGTGAAATGTCAGTAAGTCACACCTCAGTGAACAGCCCTAATCCTCTGCCCACCAGCAATACAGAGTTTTTGCTGCACCTCTGAGACTGAAGCAATGCTTTGGTATCAAGTCCCTGAGGACCTGAGTCAGATTAATTTATACAGAAATGAAATATTTGCTCAGTGCAAGCTGAATTTATTTTTACTAAATTAACAGAAGTAAAAATGCTAATAGATGCTCAAGTGAAAATGAGATGCTCAGCATTCCCTAATTGTCCTTAAAATATGTTCATTCAGCACTAGACCCATCCTTTCTGGGCAGGAACTCCTTGGCAGTATCAGATTCTGACCAGCTACATGTCTTTTCCTGGTTCAAGGGTTTTGTCCACTGGCATAAATATGTCCTCAAAATCTTAAATCTATTGCAAATGGGAGTGCAGATACTTCTAAAGCAAATTCTAGTGCTGAGGTTGGCAATCTTTTACCCCTGAGTTTTATCAGCTGTGATTGAGCCCAAGTCTTGCTACAGGAGATCTCAGGTTGGATCTTCACAGGTTCCTAAAGAGCAACCCAGAGGTTATGGGTATTTATTTTAGAATCAGGGGATGTACCTCTCCTCACAGTTTGCCTTTTCTTGTCTTACCCTGATAAAACAATTACTTGTCACAGGATATGTCATGAGCACCAGGCCACCACTGTGCTGATCCTGTGTCCCACAGGTGTGGGGGACACTGCTGGCTCTGGGGCACAGCTGTGGGGCTTTCAGGGACCCATGCAGCTCTCAGGGCATGCACCAGGGGCTCCTCAGGGTGTGAATGTCATCGAGGGGTGTGTTGTCTGTGATCAGAGAAAGGAACAGAGCTGGGGAAGGGGCTGGAGCACCAGGAGAGGCTGAGGGAGCTGGGGGGGCTCAGCCTGGAGAAAAGGAGGCTCAGGGGGGACCTTCTCACCCTCACAACTCCCCAACAGGAGGGAGCAGCCAGCTGGGGCTCGGCCTCCTGTCCCAATGAACAAGTGACAGGACAAGAGGACATGGCTCAAGTTGTGCCAGGGGAGGCTTAGATTGGACATCAGGAAAATGTTCCACTGGTTGTCAAGCCCTGGCACAGCCTGCCCAGCGTCCCAGTGGAGTCACCATCCCTGGGTGGATTTAAAAGTCGTGCAGATGGACACCTGGGGACATGATTTAGTGGTGGGCTTGGCTGTGCTGGGGGAACACACTTGGACCTGATGATCTTGGGGAGCTTTTCCAATCCCAACAAACCCGTGACCATTCTGTTCTCCTATGATTCTATATTTTCTATTAGATATAGAATTATATAATTCTATAATTCTTCTCTTCATGCCCGGGACCCGCATGGGAGGTGCTGAAGGGACAGCTCCTGCCGGGATCCGGTGCCGGTGCCGGTCCTACGGGACAGCTCCGGCCGGGATCCGGTGCCGGTGCCGGTCCTACGGGACAGCTCCTGCCGGGGTCCGGTGCCGGTGCCGGTCCTACGGGACAGCTCCTGCCGGGGTCCGGTGCCGGTGCCGGTCCTACGGGACAGCTCCGGGCGGGCAGCGCAGCCCCGGCGGCTCCGGGGGTCCCGGGGGTCCCGGTCCGCTGCCCCTTCCCGCTGCTCCCCCGGCAGTGGGGGCTGCTCGGGACCCTCCCCCGCCGCCCCCCGGCCCCGTGCGCCGCTATTGGCATCTGCGGGCTGGTGGGGGAAGGACACGGAGCACAGCCCTGCCGCAGCCCTGTCCCCCTGCTCCTCTTCGTTTCAATTGGCAGAGAGGCACGGTCAGCTTGCTCTGCAGGAGGGAAAGCAGCACAGGGGAGATCCCGATGGAACGGAATGGAATGGAATGGAATGGAATGGAATGGAATGGAATGGAATGGAATGGAGGCAGCTGTGAAATCAGCCCGGCAAAGCTCCCGAAAGGCAGGGAATGCAGCATGGAATCACCTGTACCAGTGCTGCCGCCGTGAAACACAAAGCACTGTGCTCTGTGACAAGTGCTGTCAGACAATTTAATTGAATTAAATGAGGGGGTCGGGGGTGTGGCACATCTGCCTCATGCCTTGGTTTCACCCAGGACCAGACATAATGGTGGAGCAGCGACCTTGTTGACTGGTTTGTTTGTATTAAATGAGGATGTCTAAATGATAATAAATGATAATGTCTCTCATCTATTCCCAGGGATCCTCCTCAGGGCTCTTGGCAGCACATTAGGAGATGCATTAGCTTCCTGCTCCGTGCCACGACTTTGGGCCTCTCAGAGGCTCTCCAGAGGTTTTTTCATTAAGAACAAAATCAAAGATGTCTGGCTGCCACTGCTGGTGTAAACTATTCCTATTTGGTTTACATTTGACAGCAGAACTGGGCAGGAGCTTCAAATCAGAATGGGGAGCAAGCTAAAAAAGTGTTCAGTCAAGATCTGAGCTTCAGGGACGGTGGTTTAGCAAAAGAAGGGTGCTAGTTATGCTGCTGTTCTGTACCTAGGAGGAAAAATCAGTGTAAGCATGAAAATGGCATAGGTTTTTCCCACTCAATTAGCTGTGGGAAGACAGAGGAGAATACCTGAAAGATGTTCCTAAGGGCACGTGATACACAGGATGTTACTTTTTTCAGAATTGTTCTGTGTCTAATTTCTCTTCAGATCACAGAGTTCTGGGGATTTCCCTATCCTGGCCCAGGGGAGGGTCCTGCTCTGAAGGTGGCACTGGAAACTGGGCTGCAGAGTCACCTTGGCTGGAGCATGAAATGGAGCTGAGGACAGAGGGGACAAACCAGGGCCAGAAGCAGCAGGATGTGAGGGGAATCCAGGGGCAGGGCCAGGGCAGGACAGCAGAATGTCTGTGCCTGTGGCAGGGGCAGGAGGAAGGGCAGCACAAGGACGCTCAGGGCAGGTTATCAGGACATGCAGCCATGAAAACACTGTCCCCATGAGCCTGGTGCCACCCAAGGAGCCAGCCCAGGACAGAGCCTCACCAGCAGCACCCAGTGCTGAGCCCCAGCTGCTGACCTGGCTCATAGGAGTGATGCTGTGAGGGTTTCACTGATGTGATAAAGGCCATGACAGCCTGGCAGAGCACCTCACTGGCTTCAACTTCTATTCTGAGGTTCTTTGTCAGCACTGTGCAAACAATTCACTGTCTTTTGCTGAACTCCAAAAATGCAGGTGAAGATTGCCCCAGAAGCAGATTGCTGCAATCTGTGTTGGGGCAGAACTTGGATGCTGTGGTGCATCCTCCAGTCACAGGAGCAAAGAGCAAACTGGAGAGCTCACAGCAGCAGAGGTGGAAAGGACTGAGTGTTTGCTGTCCTTTATAGAAGGACAGGTCACAGACTGTGACTGTTATTGTGGTCACAGACTGTGCCATCCTCTGCCTGTGTGGGCCATGGTGGTGGCAGAATCCACCCACATCCTCCCTCAGCCGCTGCTGCAGGGCAGGAGGTGCCTTGTGAAGTCGGGGTCCAGCTCTTGCCCTGGTTCCAGAGCCCCTGAACAGTTTCATCACCCAAATGCCCCTTTGTTCTCCACATTGCTGACCTCCTCCTGCCTCTTCACCCTCACCTCAGAAATGCTGAATTGGGAAATATTCCCAGCTGGCCAGGGGTTGAGCAATGCTTCCAGGTGTCAGTGGGCATCATTTATCTCAGAGACTGGAAATTCCACTTCCAGAGAAAGGGTGGGGCAACTGTCCAAACATGTTTAACTACACAGGCTGCAGCTCCCAGCTCCTTTGGAGGGAAAACCCTGCACAGAAACTCAACCCCTGGATGTGTTAAATCCCTGCTCTGTGTGTTCCCATAACATTTGCCACACTGGCAGCTAATTTAGGCTGCTCTAGATCAGACACTCCTTGGGGACCTTTTGGCAAGCTATGGCAGCCTGGAAACGTCTCCACAGAGTCTGGTAGCAGCAACTGGGATTTCCTGGCTGCATGGAAAAGCCTCCATAGAGTCTGAGAGCTGCAGATGGGATACTTGCTTAATTTCTCCATGAAAAAGAGATGCTGTTGGCATTAGAATCTCTCTCATGGCTATTTCATATTTTTCAGCCTACAAGGAGAAAATGAAGGAGCTGTCTCTGCTCTCCCTCATCTGCTCCTGTTTCCACACCCAGCCCCATCCCAACACCATCTACCAGTATGGAGGTAGGTAACCTGCTCCCACTCCAGCAGTGTTTGGGTTGTTCTCCCACGGGCAATGTGGGAGCTTGCCAGAGTCAGAGTCTCTCTGCTTCATGCAAGGGTGACACACAAGGTATTAACAGCAATGTGACCTTTCTGTAATTATGCCATGACTTTAAATAAACTGCATTTGCACGGAGGGAATGAAGGTGATCACTAATCAAGAAATTCTGGAGATGAAACAAAATCACCCAGATTGGGACATGGGAAAATCCTAATTCCTGTGTGAGGAGCTTGATGACCTCAGGTCACTCTCCTGAATGGCACAAGTTCAAAGAATCATGGGTTTTTTTCCCCCCACAAAGATATGGAGGTGAAGCAGCTGGATAAGAGGGCATCAGGCCAGAGCTTCGAAGTGATCCTGAAGTCCCCTTCAGATTTATCTCCTGAGAGCCCAATCCTCTCCTCCCCTCCCAAGAAGAAGGATCTGTCCCTGGAGGAGCTGCAGAGGAGGCTGGAGGCTGCAGAGGAGAGGAGGAAGGTAAGGAGATGTCCTGTAGAAGCAGTGATTTTTGTGCTACTAATTGCCCCAAACCCTAAAACTCAGCAAGATTAATCTGAACCAGCCTGGAAGTGTTCTGACACTTGTTATTCCACTGTAAATTGTCAAGTGAGACATAAGAATCATGGAGAGAGGTTCTGCAGTGTAATTTAGGCAGGGAATTCAACTCCATCATCATTATTATGATGTGATCACCGAGACATTTGGGGACATGGGTTAGTGGTGGGCTGGCCAGTGCTGGGGGAACTGTTCTCAATGATCTCAGAGGGCTTTTCCAACCTAGACAATTCTGTGGCAGCAGGGGAAAAGCACCAAAAGTATCCTCCAAGCAAGAAGATTGTGTTATGGGGTGGAGAGGTGCGGAGTGGTTTGAGCAGAGGAGGGAGTCAGGAACCCTCTCTGGGGAGATGAGGGCTGGGAGAGCTTGTCCAGCAGCCTCACCCCATGCCCTGGCAGACCCAGGAGGCGCAGGTGCTGAAGCAGCTGGCGGAGAAGCGGGAGCACGAGCGGGAGGTGCTGCACAAGGCGCTGGAGGAGAACAACAACTTCAGCCGCCTGGCCGAGGAGAAGCTCAACTACAAGATGGAGCTGAGCAGGGAGATCCGTGAGGCACACCTGGCTGCCTTGAGGGAGCGGCTCCGCGAGAAGGCGAGTGGGACCCCGGACAGGGCTGGGGGCTGGGGGGCTGGTCCTTATGGAAAAATTGGGTCTGGTCCCAGGGTGGGGTGATCGATGAGAGGGACAGGGTGTCTCCTTGGTGGTGGTTGCTGAGGAGGAGCTCTGCTCCAGAGCAGCGTGAGCAGGGAGGGTTCTGTCCTTCAAGGGCGGTAGAGAACACAGCCTGGATAATCCTGATAAGGGCAAGTCCAAAGCCACAGTGTCAGGCTCACCATGGGCTGTGTGGCTGAAGGGTTTTGCAGGAAAGAGGAGCCAGGAGCGCGTTCACTGGAGGTTCCATCACCTCCAAGCTCCCTCTTCACTCCTTGCAGGTGTAACCCCCCACCCTCAAGATGTTTTGGATGAGAAACTGGTCTCTTTATTTATATAAATCCTGTGTGCAGGAGGAAAATATTGATCACGAGAGCAGGGCGTGTTAGCCCGGTGTCATTTCTCCCGTCTTTGCAGGAACTGCACGCGGCCGAGGTCCGCAGGAACAAGGAACAGCGGGAGGAGATCTCTGGATAAAGGGCTTTTCTACACATCTAGCACCTGATTCCTGTTAACAAACCAACCAGTCGACCAACCAACCAACACATTTTATTTTGTTTGTCTAGATGCAACATTCGGTTCTCCATCCCCCCTCCCCGGTGTTCGTCCCCCAGCTACACGCTTCTCTCTGCATCCCTAATCGTCAGTGCTTGTGGGGATTCACAGATCATAGGGACCTCTAAGCAGAATAGCAGCTAGTTCACATCAAATAGAGAATCAATCAGTCAATCAGCCAATCAAACAGCTTCTTTGGAGGGTTTTGTCCTTTTTTTAAAAAAAAAAATATTTCTTAAACGGATGTAAAGAGAAAAAACCAAACGAAGATATTAATAAATTCAACCATCAGTGTCACAGAGATACGGATTTCTTATCCGGGGCTTTTCCTCCTCTTGGTGTTTGCTCTGAGCCAAATATCCGTTTCAGAAAAATGGGAAATAAGTGATAATTTCTGTGTGTGAAGCAAAATAGGGAGCAGTCCCTTGTTTGGTAGGAGAGTGGAAGGAGAGGGATGGATGGCTCAGGAGTTGCAGTGTGCAGAACCCTCATCTTTTGGCTGCCTTCAGAGCCAGCCCAGGTAGGCAGTGACCACAGCCCTCATCTTTGGGTCATTTTTGAGAACCTGTATGAAAGCTGAGGGGCTCCACCCAAAGCTTGGTGCCAGGTGCCACATCACAGCAAGTCCCTGTCACGGTGGGCACTGCCTGATGCCCTGGCTGGCCACTGAGCCACCCTCTCCCCAGCTGAGTGGGGACTGAGAGGTCTTGGCTGCTCTGCCTGGGAGAGCTGTGGGTGGTGATTGCATTTCCAGCTCCGTGGGAGCCCTGGAGAGACCCTCAGTCCTCTTGGGCTCCCCAGTGCTCCCACCAGATAGGATTCCACTCTGTTAGGAAAGCAAACCAACAAAGATGGTGCGTGGTTGTGAAATTGCCTTTTAGTGAACAGAAGAATCCTTCCCTCTTTCCAGTGATGGATGTGGCTCTTTGGGGCCATCACAGGGTAGATTGCTGGAGACCAAATCCTGGGGCTCTCTTCTGATCTCCACTGAATTCCCAGCTGGATGTGGAGGAGATCCCTCCATGGCCATGGCTTGATGGGACTCTGCTCCTAAAAGGAAGGGCTACCTTACTCCCAAAGCCCTCCTCCTGCTCTGGGGGGACAATAGGGCTGTTAGAAAGCTCCTGTGCTGTCAGTGACAAAAGAAAATTAGATTTAGGGCAAAGAAGGAAACTGAAGGTTGAATTTCTTATCAGTAGCTAATGATCAGTTTATAGTAGCAGCTGTCTTAGATAAGCATTTGTGTAGAGTGCGGCATCACCGCCAGCATCACCTCATCCATATAGTGACGAGAAATTTTAAAAAGTTTAAAAAAAAATTTAAGAAGTAATTTAAATGAAATGTTTGTGTGTAAGAAATGGTTGAAACTGTAAAATGTCTGTGTCCCACGTTGGTGGGATCTGAGAAGGTATCTGCGAGATATTAACCCTGTCCTACTCTCTGTGGTGCTGAGTGTTTGCTTGGTGTGTAATTCTGACCTGGAGCTTGTTGTAAATACTGTTTTTAGTACTATGATTATTATAATTATTATTATCAGAAATGTTGTACTCATGAGCAAGAGTTGAAAACAAGAGAAATGGCCATTTTCACTCTCTCCTGGGGGCTCAGAAGGAGTCGGAGGCTGAGCCAGGTGAAGTCAGGGTGCCAGTGGGATGCTGGAGCAGAGAGCAGCTGGAAAATGATGGAATTGGGAGCTGGAGGCAGCCGAGTCCTGCAGGCAGGGCAGTGAGGGCGGGGACGGCTGCTCCTCGTGCTGGGAGGAGAAGGAAGGGCTGAGAGAAGAATAGAGGTGATGCTTCAGTTCTAGTACATCTAATTTAGTGTTGATCTAAACTTCCCTGGGTGGAAGTTCCAGGTGGTTCCCTGCAACCCAGTGGAAGCTGGAGGATCTGTCAGGTTTAGCATGTGCTGGAAGAGAGCTGTAAACAGGTTGTGCTGGTCAGAGCCATCCTCCCAAACAGCTCCTGAGTCTCCAGGCTCAATTCCTGCCTGGATCTTCCCTCTCAGTCCCTTGTGCTGCCCTATGTCCCTCTCTTCCCCCTCCCTGGAGCCCAGATGGGTCTCAACTGGAGACTCATTCTTGCAATAGCTTTTCCTGGCAAAAATTCCCATGGCAAGAGCAGAATGGCCTGGCAGATGGTGCTCATGCAGGTGTGAGCACTGGGAAACTAATTTTTCTCCCCTCAATCAGGTTGGTGCAGTGAGGGATGGTGGATATGGCTGGGAAATGTGTTCCTGCAGGAGAAGCTCCTGCAGGGAGGAGCAGGGAGAGCTGTGCATGGGTAAAGTCAGGGAGCTGCTGCTGAGACACGTCGTGCCAAGGAAGCAGCCTCAGCTGTGGGGCCAGAGGCTTCACGTGTCCCAGAGCTGGGTTTGCCTGTGCAGGTGGATGGATAGGGATGTTCAGGAGCTTGTCCAGTGCCACTGGGCACTATCAGGGAATTGTGTGACTGCTTTGGCTGCACGGTGTTGGCTGGATGAGGGGTGTCCACCCACTGCTCCAAACCCATCGTGGCCAGGAGCTCATGCAGCGCTGTGCCCAACCTGCAGCACGTGGCATGGCCAGGATCATGGTTATTCCATGCCTTCCCATATCCCTTCATGCTATTGGCTATGTGCAGCTGCACACTTCATGCCTCAAATGAGACCAATTAGGTATCCTCATTACCATCCTTACTGCCCCAGCCTGTGTCATTCCTGGAGCATTCCCATGTACTGTGGATGTGGACATGGCATGCAATCCCCCCAGTTCTCGGGGTCTCCTTCCTTACTGGGGGGTTTGAGGTCTCCACTGATCCCTGAAGGTGTTTATGAATCGAGTTCTGAACCAACAGTTTCCAGCCCCATTTTAGCAGCACCATATGGACATGGGAATGTGCCTTGTAGGGGGAGCATCCTCAGGTCACCCACCCACCCTGCCTGGACCTCAAGTGTGGCAGCAGTGTGAGGGAGGAAAGCCAGGAGGGTGACATCATTATGTGCATGCATAGGCCTTCCAAGAGCCCTCCTGGAGAAGAGCCTTTGATTTGGGCAAAAATGAGGAGCTGAAGCTAAATGAGCTCCCAGCTGGCACCAACAGCCAGGCGATGGGTGAAGCTGTAGGAAAGGCACAACAGCCCAAACTACAGCTCTGTGCCCACATTATTCCACAGAGCAGAGCTCAACTCTGCCTGTAAATAGGCACTTCCAAGGATGCTGGCCCCTCTGACTGCCTCTGGACTGAGCCTATTCCTTCTTATTATTTTGGAGTCATTAAAAAAATCTTGCTCTAACCCAGTTGTGGGGTTCCCTTTGAGTTGACCTTCCAGGGCCGTGGAAGTTGAGGAGTTGCATGCATCCTACCTCGGGGGTAGGTCGGTATTGCTGCTCCCTTTCAAATGTAAACTTCAGCTTGCTTGCTTTAGCTTAGCCCAGCGTGACTCTCTGGCCCTGGCTCTGCAATCCTGTCTCACAGGGTTTGTTCTGTCCCTCCCATGGCATTCCTGTCCTCGTGGCAGTGGCTGTGCACCCGGCCGTGCACACGCGCACAGAAACGCATCCGTGGAAACCATATATGCACATTCACTCTGATACCACTTGAAATGAGTCAGGGAATGGCTGTTTACGGTGCTAGAGATTTCTTACTCTCCATGCTAGGGATGAGATGACACAGCAAGACCAATAAACTCCACCTTTGCAGTCAGCTGTCTTTAAGTAAAGCAGCAGAGGGGCGCTGGCCCATGCCTATGTGTGGGTGCCCTGTGGTCCCTGGGGTGCAGGGACACAGGGGACAGCTGGGCATCCCTGCCCTGGCATTCCCCATGCCTCAGTTTCCCACACCCTTTGACAAGGGGACAGAGATGCTCCCTCCCCACAGGGACCACAGGAGAGCTGATGCCTCCACATCTCTAAAGTGCTCTGAAATGGAAAGTACCAAAGTATGGAGCAGGGATAGGCAGCTGTGCACCCCGGGGGGAGCACCCCGGCCCGTGGCTGCAGGAGAGGGTTGGAAGGTGACTGTGTGGGCACAGGGCTGAGCTGTCACCCCAGGGCTCAGCACCCCGGGCAGGATGTGCTCCTCTTGCCACAGCTGGGGTCACATCCCTAGGGCTGGGTGGGGAGCTGGCACAGTGTCATGGAAAGACTTTCCATCCCTAACAGAGCCTTGTCCGGTTCCCTTCGGTCTGCCACGTGCATTTCATTGTCAACTTGAGGTTGTTGTTGTGCAAAAGAAGTGATCATGAAAAAAAATAAAGGAAAAAAAAAAGAAATAAAGTTGGTATGAAACCGTATGTGTCCGTCTCTCTCCGGGTTGTTTCAGTCGCAAGGCTTCTCTTTGTATTGTGAGAATACCAATAAACAGCATTAAACAGAAAATTGACATAAAGATTTAACAAAATAGACCTTAATCCTCTGAATGCTCAGTGACTGCTTTTTCACACAGCATAAAAGAGACAGAAATTGACAGTTTATCACCATTCTCAGAGGGACAATGTAATAAATCCTTTAATGAGGGTCCCGCTGCCCCCCCTGTGGCTGGGAGTGAGGGTGTGCAAAGTCTTTATACAGGAAGATCGAAAAAGATACAAAACAGTTACAAATACAAGTGCAGTTCTGGAAACAACATGAACTTCTTTATTAAAAAATCCAGTGTTTTCTTTATGAGCTCTTCCTGAGAAAGGATCCAGAGTGGGAGGGAGCAGGGCTGCAGTGCTCAGGGAGATGAACCCAAACCCATGAGACCCTGCATGGCCAATGCTCCTAATCCCATCCCTGGAGCCAGGTACACAAAAAGATCCAAAACTGAAAATAGGGAAGTTCATAATCCTCAAGGACATGTGTGAGAGGGTGCCTGGGCGCATTCCTTGCTGCTGGGGAAAGGTTCCCCCACTTGCCTCTTGGGGAGGGCTTTTGCCACCACAATTGGTGCCCAGTGTCACTGGCCACTGCCCTCCCTGTCCTTGAGGGGATATTGAAATGGCAGCATCCTCCTGGGCTGTGCTACATCGTGTGATCCCATCAAAATAACCAGTGTGGGAGACTCTCCACAGAGCTCAGCAGCACTGGGGCACAAGGAGACAAACTGAGGGGAAGGCAGGGAGGATTTTAATTTTAATTGTGTGTTCTGTAAAGGCAGGGAGGAGAGTGCCAGGAGGACAGTGCCAGGACAGTGCTGGGGCCATCACAGTGGTGGCAGTGGCAAGCAGCCCATGCCTGATGCTTTTCCCACGTGTCCTCAGGATGCTGCTGCCCGCACAAACAGGAATTCTATTTTTGCAGCTTGACCTTCCTGATTCCGGAGATAACAACCTGACTGCAAACGCAGCGTTGCTCCCTTTTCCTCTGAGATTTGATACAGCCCACTAACCCAGGCTCTTCTAAAACATGGATGTAGCAAAGTAAACCCCTGCATTTGTCTTAGGAAAACAGGCACAGTCCTTGGTGCCAGACAATTCGAGATATATTGATGAGACCAAGCATGGTCACCTCCTAACTAGTTAATTCAAGAGACATCCTTTATCCTTTTGTGATCTGAAGGAGAAAACCACAGAGGCATGGGATCTGCTGGGGCAGGAGGAGCAGATGGAATTGTGGAGAGGCTCCCACCACCTTCCAGCCCTGCCCACCGTGCAGCCCTGCAGGGCTGAGTGCTGAAGACACAATACTGAAGGCTTGAACCACACTCCAGCACACACAAAATCATAGAATCAAGGAATGGTTTGGTGGTTCCAACTCCCTGCAATGAGCAGGGGCACCTTTCACTATCCCAGGCTGTTCCAAGTCCTGTCCAGCCTTGAGAACCTCCACGGATGGGGCAGCCACAGCTCCTCTGGGCACCAGGGTCCCCCCACCCTCACAGGAAAGAATTTATTCCCAATATCCGATCTCACCCTGCTCCCTCTCAATGCCCCTGTCTTGTCACTCCATGCCATGTCAAGAGCTCCTAATGGAAAAAATCAAAACCAAGAAAGCAAAATACCTGCATAACTCTGGAAGGGATCCCTGCAAAGTGGTTGAGTAAGGGAAGGGATCAGAGACTCTGCCAGGGTGGGGGCAAAGGCTCACCTGGGCAGGCAAAACCCAGAAATGTTGCAGAGTGATTTGGTTTGAAAGACAACAGCTCACCCTGTTTCGGCAGCCTCACTGGCACCATGGCTGGAGCAGGTCTGCCCACAGATAAAGGGGCAGAGCAGGGAGCAGATTGGGTGCCAGGAGGTGAAATCATCCCACCCTCTGTGTGAGGAGGAGCACAGGGACCTTCCTGTGTCCGGGGATCTGACAGCAAAAGCCAGGTTTTGATTTCCAAGAGGGAAAACTGGAGTAGGGCAGCATGACTGGGGGTTTGCTGCCTTCTTACCACCTTGATAAGGCCACCGCTCTTGGGCAAGGTAGGGAGATGTTTTTAGTGGAAAAAGGGACCTTTTATGGAAAAAGGGACCTTTTATCTGTCCTGTCCCACCCCACTGGAGTCCAAAGGATGCAGCAGTGGCATTGGTAGAGACAGACATGCTTCCATGGAAAAGGGAGTCACCATTTGGGTGGGTGATTTAACCCTGCTGGTTATCGCAGGGAAGGAAAAGAAATACAATTCCTTGTGGAATTAATATCACTTTAATGGTGTTAGCTGGGGTAGACTGGTGAGGGGGAGCATGAGGGAAATAGAGGTGGCAGCTGCTTATCAGGCAGGGTTGGTTTGCAGAGGACAAAAAAAAAAAGAAGAGGAAGAGCCTTGGAGGAAAAAAAACCCCAAAACCATTAAATAAACCACCACAAATACATCAGACAGGATCATTAGAAATTTGTGTAAAAAAATACTAAACAGACCAAACGCCACCTGAACACCTGTCAGGAAAAGCCACCCACCCAGTAGCTGTGAAAAGCTGACAGAATGGAAACACAGCAAGTGCTTCCAAAAGGGATTCACGACTTTTGGGGCCTCTGGCCTCGCTCATCCGTTCCCAGAACGTGTTAACCACCTACTCACAGAAGAAGTGCAATGTGGTAAAATCGTGCTAAAAGTCCTCCCTGAGAAATTCTTGTGTGCCTCCTAAACCCTGACCCTCACAGGCACAGAAATGGCAGAAATTAACCAAAACTTGTGACAGCTTGTGGTGGCTGGGGAAACACAGAGAGCAGTCACAGCTCGAGGGTTAGTGCTGGTAAGGACCAGCAGCAGCTTGGGATGGCTCAAGGAGGAAAACAGCCCTGAAACAAACTGCGCAAGGGCACTTTTTAAATGCTGGAAATGTTTAAATGCTGGCCCCAGGGAGACCTTAAAGCCCCTTCCAGTGCCTAAATGGGCTCCAAGAGAGATGGAGGGAGACTTTGGACAAGGGCCTGGAGTGACAGAGCAAGGGGGAACGGCTTCACACTGACTGAGGGCAGAGTTAGATGGGGTATTGGAAATAAATAATTCTTCCCTGTGAGGATGGTGAGGCCCTGGACAGGTTGTCCAGAAAAGCTGTGGCTGCCCCATCACTGGAAGTGTTCAGCCATGAACAGCTGAGGCCTTTCACAAAACCCTGGAGAGCCACAGAGTGATACAGGGCTTCAAGACACACACAGGGGACATACACAGCCCAGGGGGAACATGCAGGGGACATGGGGGGGATGCAGAGCCCGTGAAAAGGACACACAGAGGGTATGGGGGGCACAGAGGACTGAGGAGGGAGACACAGGGGACACACACAGAAAGGACACGGGGGGGCATGCAGGACCTTGGAAGGGACATGGGGGCATGCATGGGCCAGGGAAGGGACATATAAGAGAAAAAGTGTCATGCAGGACCCCAGCTGGGGACACGTATGGGACATGGGGGCACATAGGAGGCACAGTCGGGACACAGGCATGGGGCACACAGCCCGGGGGGGACATAGAGGGGACACGGGGAGCCTGCAGAACGCTGGAGGGGGACACGGGGGGCACGCAAGAGGGCAAAGGAAGACACGCCCTCGGTACACGGTACCGGTATGGGGTACACGGTATGGGGGCAGACAGGAGACACGGGGGGCGTGCGGGGCACAGGGGACACACACAGGGGACGGGGGGGTACCGGGAACCAAGAGGAGGACACGAAGGGCACGGGCCGGGGACAGAAGGGAGACACGGGGGGTACAGAGGACACAGGGTGGGGACACAAGGGGGACACAAGGGGGGAACACGGGGGGGGGGATGACATGGGGGGGGATTCCCCCGCAGGACCCCGCGCGCGGGGACCCCCCGGCGGCGCGCGCCGCGCCCCCTCCCACCCCCGCCCGGCGGCGGCGCAGGCGCAGAGCGCCCGCCCGGTCCCTATTTCACGGGGAGCGCGGGCCGCGGCGCCCGCGCCAAATAAGTCTCGGTAGCCGGTGCGGGCCGTGCGCCTGCGCGGGGCCCCAGAGCCGCGCGGCGGAGCCCCGCTCCCCCCGGCCCCGCCGCCGCCGCCCTGCCCGCGCCCACCGCCGCCCGGCCCCAGCGCCCGCCGCCGCCGCCGCCGCAGCCCGAGCGGGGCCCGCGGGACGCCGGCCCGAGGTAAGCGCCGGGCGCGGCCTCGCCCGCCGCGGGGCCTCCGCCGCACGCGCCGCCCGGGTCCCTGCGGAGCGTCAGGACGTTACGGCGGCGGCGGCAGCGCCCGGCCGCCCGCCCGCCCCGCGGCCCCCCCGCCTCCTCCTCCTCCTCTTCCTCCTCCTCCTCCTCCTCCCTGCCAGCGGGAGCGCGCCCACGCGCCCCTCTCGGCCCCCCGCAACCCCCCCCCGTCCCGCGCGCGCCGCCCCGCAACGGGAACCGGGGGGATGGGGGGGGAACGGGGACACCGCGGCGACACCGGGGGCACCCCCTGCCCGCCCGCCAGCCTCGGCACCGGGGCACCCCGGGAGAGCCCCCCGGCAGCCTCCACGTGCAGCGCCCTCCGCCCCCGGGCACCCCGCTCTGCAAACCGCCCCCCATCATCCTGCAGCCCCCCGGGCACCCCACTCTGCAAACCGCCCCCCATCCTCCCCCAGCCCTGCAGCCCCCCAGGCACCCCGCTCTGCAAACCGCCCCCCATCCTCCCCCAGCCCTGCAGCCCCCCGGGTATCCCCTCTCTGGGTCCCCCTGTGCTGCACTCTGCCTTCTTCACCCCTCCTTGAGGCTGCTCGCCATCGTCCTGCAGCTTCCCTGCCGCTCTCAGGGCAGCCCCCCAGCCGTGCACCCCCAGTTTGTGTCCCCCCACCCCGTGCAGCTGCAGCCCCCCGCCCGTGCTGTCTGTGCTGCTCTCCATCCCCTCTGTCCATGGACCCCTGGGCACCCTCTGGCACCCCATGGCCCTCTCACCCTGTGCAGCTCTGTTTAACCCCCCTAAAGCCACCATGCATCCCCTCTCTGCATCCATACTGCATCCCCCTCTCTGTGCACAGCCTTGCACACACTGTAGTCTGGTCTCTCTGCCCTCCTGATGCTGCACCCCAAAGATCTGTCTCCTCTGCCAGCTGTGCTATGCTTTCTTTCCTTTTATTTTTTCTTCCTCACTTCACCCCAATTCTTTCCCCCAGCCCTTGACACGCTCTCAGCCCCCTGCCAGGTGCACCAGGAGGGACAGGCATGGACACCTTGAGTCCTGGTAGGGCTGGGGTGCCCCTTGTCCCCCTCCACAGCCCCACTGCCGCTGTGTTTTAGCCACTTTTTCGATTACTTATGGTTCCAGCCCACTTTTTCCCCATTCAGTGCTGGTTCCTGCCCAGAGGCATCTGAGCAGCACACGTGGGGTTCAGTCCTGTGATGCTGGGCAGGATGTCTGGGGCATCCTGAAGCTCAGGAGTGTTGTGAGTGATGCTAATCACTGAGTGGGATGTGTTTTACCCCAAAATGAAGGACAAGGGTAGGGATAGAGTAAGTACAGAGATTGGAGGGGTTGAGCTGAGGGCAGCTGAGCTTCGGTGCTGCTGTGGAAACTGAAGTGCTTCTGCTGGTGGCCTTGTGCTGGGCTGGCACGGAGGGCCCATTGGATAGACCCTGTGGGCTCTGTGGAGGTAAGGAGCACCTCGTGGTGTCCCTGTGAGTCAGGCAGGTGTTTCTGCAGGGCATGAACTTGGTTGTGAAGTCACACTGGCCATGCTGGGTCAGTGCTGTGCTCTGGCCGTGGCCTGGGAAGTGATGGGAGCCAGGTGACATTTCTGCTGTGCTCTGAGCCACTGCTTGGAGTTCTCCATGGGGGTCTGAGCCTGGAACAGCCAGACCTGGGTGAGATGTTCCCTTACCTGTGTCTGTGGGGGCTGCGCCAGTGCTGTAGGAGATGCTTTGTGGGCACCAAGTTCTCCTTATCTGGGCATGGGCTGATCCCCAGCATTGTGGGCAGCAGGGGAAGGGAGGGGATTCTCTCCCTCTGCTCTCTCAGTTGGGACCCCACCTGCAGTGCTGCATCCAGCTCTGGGCTCCCAGCATCAGAGGCATGTGGAGCTGCTGGAGCAAGTCCAGAGCAGGTCATGGAGATGCTCTGAGGGCTGGACACTTCTGCTCTAGAGACAGGCTGAGAGAGCTGGAGAAAAGAAGGCTCTGAGGAGACCTGAGAGTCCCTTTCAGTTCCTAAAAGGGCTCCAAGGGAGCTGGGGAGGGAGTGCTGTCTTACATCTATTGCTGATTTATTAGAAATGCACACTTTGAAATAGTTTCCAGATGTCACTGTTTCTGCGGGCTTGACGTGCTTTTTTAATTTGATTTTTTTGTGTGTGTGTGACTTTGGAGGAGGGAAGAATCCCTGTTTTACTGTGGAGGAGACAGTGACAAGCTCCTCCAACAGTGTGAAATCGTGAGATAGTTTGAAATACATTTAGAAAAGCACCTTCAAACTGAGTATCCTCAGAGAGTTTATGATGGATGCCAGGAGCAATTTTTTTTTTTTGGCCCTCTTTCACACTCTGCCCTTCACCTCCTGCACCTCAGTCCCACCCATGCCCATCGTTCTCACCCAGCCTGCAAAGGGCTGGGTTGGGTTGAGCTTCCCCTCGTCCTCCCTCCTGCGATGGAGCACTTGGGGATTCGCTCATCCCATTCAGAGCATGATGTCCCTGCAGTCCCTTCTCTCCTTGCTCCCAGAACCCTTCCATGACCGAGCTCACCTTTTGACTCTGTCATTCCCGAATTTCTCCCCCAGCAGGTGGTGACTGAGCTGGTGCCGCGATGGCGACGCCGGACGTCAGCGTGCACATGGAGGAGGTGGTGGTGGTGACCACGCCGGACGGCGCCGTGGACGGCGCTGCCATGGAGGAGGTCAAGACAGTGCTGGTCACCACCAACCTGTCCCAGCACGGGTGAGAGATGGGGCTGGTGCACGCTGAGGGGACGTGCTGGAAACCCTCCCAGATGGGATTTATCCCCCACTGCTTCCTCCTCATCCCTGCTCGCTGTGGGCACCTCAGCGGTGGCCATGGAGTGTCCAGCTCCTTGCTAGGGCTTCCACACCAAGGGCTCTGCTGCTCTGGGCAGAACAGGCTCCATTCTTTTCTTCTTTTGAGGTGGGGAAAAAAAGACTGACCCCAAATACCTTTTTCTGAGTGGACACAAATCCAGTTGGAACAGGACACCAGTAGCTAAATCAGTGTTTTTCTGCTATTTATTTCATGATGGCTGTGCTGAGCTCTGAACTCCAAGAGACAAGTTTGTCCTCACCAGGCTGAGGGTGGTGCAGCTGAGCTCCCCTTCCCTGAAGGCTGAGGAGGTGTGGGGTTGGTTGGTTTTTGGCCGAGCTCTGCAGGAACCTCCACTGCCAGCAATAGGAGTGAGAGAGCTGTCCTTGAAACAGTGTTGCCCTGAACGGAGAGGCATTATTAAAAAAAAAAAAGTGCAGGTCTGATTGTTAAAGTGCTGCTGTTTTGCACAATTTCTGCCTTTTTTGTTGGCATTTTATACTCAGGGCTGCTGTTTGTTCAGTCTGGTCTGTTCAGTGGCAGGTTGGCCGTGGCCAAAGAGCCTTTCTTGAAGGCCCACATAGCAATGGACTCTGCTTTATTTCTCTGTGTTTTTTTGGGTGGAACAGAGCCCAGAGCCGTTTGTGTGTTTTGTTCTGTCAGTGGGCAGAGAATCCAAGTTCACACCTGGAGCTGCATCCAGGCAGGCTTGTCTGAAATAAGTGGGTGTTGAATGGCTGTTTATTGCTCTCCGGAGGTGTTTGTCTGCTTTTCTCAAACGATTCTTTGTGTCAGTGCCCTGGGGCTTTGGGCAGGGCAGAAGGTGACAGCTGAGTCCAGGGCCGTTCCCCTTGTGCTGCTTCAACTAAGACAAAGCCCATTAATAGGTGAAATTTTGGTAAAGAATGGGCAGGAGAGGCAGAGGCAGGAGCTGTTGGTGCTGGCGTGGGCAGGACCTGCCCTGCTCTTCCTCCACGCCCTGGGTCTGTGTTTCCTAAACATCTTCAGTTCCCAGAAGAACAGTGATGGTGGGGAAGAAGGGCTTTACTCCTCTTGTTTTCTGTCCCATGAAGACTCCCTTGTCTCCCTCAGTGGAGAAGCAGCCAGATGTGACTCTTGGGATGTGGCTGCTCTTGGATGCAGAGTGGTTCCTGGTTGTCATGTGGCTCTGAACCTCTTCAGACCCATGTGCAGCATTGTGGTTTTGTCTGGGAAAATGGATCATGGCAGAGGCTGGCTCAGTCAGTTGGTTTCCTTTCACTCTGAGTTTCCTTCCTGTTTTTCTTTGGAAATCTCTTGTCACCCTCCCAGTGTCCCCTGGATGGTCAGGAGCAGGACAGCTCCACACAGCACAGAGAGGAATGCTTTCATTTAGTGACAGCTGTGAGCAGAGATGTCTTGGCATGGATGAAGAGATTCCTTGAAGGGTTTTCCGTGCATCTCTCTGGAGAAGAGCTCCTGGACAGGCCCTTTGCTCCCTCATTCTTGGGGATGGTAGTGGGTTAATAGAAAGGGTGTGAAATTTGGCATCACAGGGTAAAACCTGCCTGACTCCCCTCACTGAGCAGGGCAGTGGGGCTGGTGGTGGGTGGCAGCACGAGCCACCATGGTCTCTCTGTGGCCTTGGACAGTTGCCCCCACCAGGCTCTGCTCCTCCAGGGCAATGCCACAGTGGTGCTGGCTCCTTCTCCCTTTCCCTCTGCAGCCCCAGCTGGTGTCAGGAGAGCAGCTGCAGGCACGGGCTGGGATCCCTTGCTGTTGGCTCAGTGACTGCTCACATGGGGAGCTTTCTGTTTGCTTGGTGTGACACTTAAACCAAACTCAGCTTGGGGGTTGGTGCCTTTTTCTAGTGCTCTTCTGGGTATGGGTTTGCTATTAAAAAAACCCCTCTGTACAACCAATTGTTAAGAGCTTAATTAGTTCGTGTGTTCTTAAGGAAAAAGCTGAGGGAAATGAAAAATAATAATGAGCAAGAAGCTTTTCTCTTTGGTCTATGGGAGATGGGGATCTGTGCTTGATGCTCTGATGAGGTGCTTGTATTTCTGATCAGCACAGGATTCTGGGGGAGACGTTTCTCTCTCAAGTTTCCAGGCAAGGCAGGAGCAGAAAAGAAAGGAGACGCCAGCCCGCAGAGTTATCTGCACATGCTTTCTTCTCTTCCTCCCATCTGGCTTATGGATCCTCCTGGGGAGGAAGATGAGAACCATCCTCCCCTGCCTTCGTCATGGCAACTGGCAAAGGCAGGGCCAGCTGGGGGGCTGCACTGCTGGGGCTTGGAAGGTGTTTGTGTTTTCCCTTGCTTCTGCCTCTGCCTGTTTACCTGGAATGGGATGGGAGAAACAGCATGGAGACACTCGCCTTTTTTTGTGGTTTTCTCTCCCCCATGTGCCCATGGCAGACACAGACTTCAGTTGCCTGAATTTTTCATACAGGCTGGGAGTTGGTTTGTTTGTTTTCCTCTGGAGGTTAAAGGCATGGGCTGGGTTATTCCTCCCCATCCAGTTGCACCTTTTGGTCATTTTTCGGAGCGGTGCAAATGTGGTGGAGTCCTGGAGGAAGCTCTGAAAGGTGCTGGCTTTTCTGCTGGAAGGTTTCTTCTGGGTGAGTTGGTGGAGGTTCTTGATCTGGAGGCAGGTCAGGGCTGTGGGGTGCTGGGCTTTGCATGCCAGAAGGGGTTGCTTCCTCTGGCACCCTGCTGAAGTGCCACTGCTGCAAACTGATGAAAAACCCCAGGTTAGAATTCTTCTGTTCTTCTGTCAGACTGCCACTTGTGTAATAATCACCTGGGTGCAAATGCCTTGGCTCAGAGTTTACCTTTTTGAGTCCTTTCATTTACCCTCCCCATGCTCTGCCAGGGCTGTGGGCTGGTGGTCACTGTGAGCTGCAGAGGCAGAGTTGTGTCCATCTTCTTTCTGTCACAGCAGGAGCTGTCTCCCCTCTCTGGAGCAGCATCTGAGCACTCACCTGGTGAGGCTGGGCTGCCTCCCACACCATTCCTTATCTCTGTGCTGCTCCCCACAGGGACCTGCCCTGCAGCTGCTGAGGGCAGGGATGCTTTGAAGCTGCAGTTCCATCCTGGAGCTGTGTGTTAGGAGCCCAGAATGGAAAAACCAGTTGCTCTTGAATTTCCTTGTCCCCGTGGCATGGGGGGTGAGAAATGTGGTTGCCAGTGAGTCACTAGGACTGTCTTTTAATTCATCCATGGTACCAAACTGAGGGAGGTTTCAGGTTTATTTTCTCTGTGGAGTCTTCATAGGGAATTTATATGGCAAAGTATGTGAAAAGCTAATTGTGTTTCTACCCCTGCCCCTGTGGATTGAGCTTTCTGGAGCTTCAGTGACACCACCAAACATACATCTTAAAAGGAGGGTAGACTTAGATTAGATACTGGGAAGAAATTGTTCCTTGTGAGGGTGGTGAGGCCTTGGCACAGACTGTCCAGAGAAGCTGTGGCTGCCCCATCCCTGGAATTGTCCAAGGCCAGGTTGGACAGGGCTTGGAGCAACCTGGGATGGTGGAAGATGTCCCTGCCTGTGGGAGGGGCTTGGAACAAGTTTAAGGGTGAGTTTTAAGGGCCCTTTCAGCCCAAACCATTCTGTGTTTGTATGAAAACCCATTAGGAATGGTCCCTGCTGAGCACTGGCTGTGAGGTACAGGTGGATCCATAATGGCACCAATGTGGGCTCCCTCCCTTTGAGACCTGACCTCCAAAGCCAGGGGGGTGAGGAGCATGTCCCACATGCCAGCCAGAAGTGCCTGTGCCCTCTGAGTGTGGGAGGCTCCTTGGAGGGGCTTGGGGCTCTGTATTCCTGTACCTGGGATGGGAGAACAGCGAGGGAGTGGGTGCTTTGCAGGACCCACTGTGTGACTCCATGGGCAAAGCACCCAGAGAAGATGGAGATCTCAGTGTGGGGACAATGGAAGCAGCTGAACAGCCAGCTATTAATGAATGTCATGGATATATCAAATTTTAAGAGGCTCAGAGATTGTATTGCAAGTGTCTGTAACTCATGTTATGTTATCTCTGCTCACAGATCTGCTCTTGGGGTTTGTCCAACTCCTTTATAGTGTCTCTGTGGCTCTTTGAGGTCCTGCTCCCTCCCTGGAGCATCCTGCATACCAGGGGATTCAGCCAGTGCATTGCCCAGACAGCAGCAGCATGTTTCACACATGTTTTTCCTGGGGAAATCTCAGGCAAAGCTTCCAAAGGCTGGCAGTGACTTCTGAGCAAGGGGCTGTGCTGACAGCATCTCTCCATGCCAGCTCTCCAGCAAGGGCTGGGCTGGAGGCAGATCCACAGGGCTGGGATTAAAGGGGAGGGAGAGAGAGCTGGCCAAGCTGCTGACAGGGGCTTGCCTGCTGTGGGGTTCTTCATCTCCACATGAAAAAATGGAGCTGAGCCTCCCAACCCCAGAGCTGACTCTTAGCTCTTGTGGGAAAATGTGATCCGAGGGACTTGTGAGGCGATGTCTCCACAGGGCATCGGGGGTGGGGGTGGCACAGCCACATGGCTTAGGAATGCCTCTGCCTCTCTTCCCAGCGGTGACATCAACGAAGACACGCTGGAGACTGAAAATGCAGCTGCTGCAGCTGCTGCTGCCTTCACAGCCTCCACAGACCTGAAGGAAGCGGTTCTAGGTAGGTCAGCTCTTTCCACAGCCCCTTGGTGTCGACTGCAGCCCCCCAGTGTGCCCCAGCCCTGCCCTGGTGTCAGCTGGGACACTCCAAGCACTGCTGTGCAGAGCTGCTGGGGCTTGGGGCTGTTCTCTTGTGAGCCTTGGGGGTGCCAGCGATGCTGTCCCAGCATCCAGGGGGCTCGGTGACCAGCAGGGAGCTGGCAGTGGCTGGCTGGGCTGCTGCTGCCCTCTCCTGGTCCGGGATGTGTCCCTGTGTCCGGCCATCCCTGCTCCTGCCATTCCAGCTTGCCACGGGGGTGTCAGTTTTGCAGCAGCTTGCTGGCTTTGGTTGCAAGTAAAAGCGAGTTTAGGGAGCAGAGACTGATCAGCTGGGCTAATGTTGACTTGAAACCAGTTTCACTTTAAAACCAAGGGTGACTCCACCCAGATAACATCATTCTCTTTTATCAAGAATGGGTGACTTCTCATTTTCCCTGTGCTGAGCTGCAGCTGGATTGGCATAAATCTTACTGGGCTGTTTTGCCTGAGAAGTTTGGGTGTTTGGATACTTCCATAGCAAAGTGCAAGTGAGTGGTGGCCACAAACCCCAGCACACCCCACCATGCATCATCTACTTGGTTTTTTATTTATTTCTGAGTTTCAAAACTGTCATTGCATGTGTGGCTCAGGAACTGTGGCTCATGTTTCTCTTTGATCTGTCCCTTCCTCTGATCCCTGTGAGAAGTGAAGATGGCTGAAGATGAGGACAGTTTGGAGGCAGAGATTGTCTACCCCATCACCTGCGGGGACAGCAAAGCCAACCTCATCTGGAGGAAGTTTGTGTGCCCTGGAATCAATGTGAAGTGTGTGCAGGTGAGGACAGAGAGTCCAGCACTGGACTTGTGCTTTCCCCTTGCCCACATTTTGAGGTGACCTGGCTTGTCCTTGTTGTGATAACCTTTGATCAGCTGCTTTGCATTTGATCCATGTCATGGTAGGAAAGGATGACATTTTCCTGGTGCTGGGTACCTGATATTTGTCCTGACAAAATTACTTAGTTCTGGCTGGAGAGATGGTGCCTCAGTTTAATGTGTTATTGAAAATTTGAGAAATTTGGGCACTTGCAGTGTGCTCAGTTGGAAAGTTTGAGGAGTGTATTGATTGAGGACCTGCTGAAGAGTTGCTGCTGTGTGCTGGGTAACTCATGGTTAAAATTTACATGAATTCAGGAACATGCCACGAGTGAGTCATTGCTGGCATTTGTACACAGCCTAAACAATACCCTGCTGAGGGAGAGTCTCCTTGGGCTCCCAAAGGATAGTCCTTGCCCTTCCCAGCAGCAGTGGTCTCCTCTATCCATGAGACAGAGGATAAATGCTGCTGCCTCCTAAAATCTGTTCTCTCTGCACTGGAGCCCTTGTCCTTGTTCAGAGATGCAGTTTCTCATGCAGTAACAAGTGAGTTGCTCTATGTTGGTCAACATGGCCATGGAAAAGAGGAGGCCTGGATTTGGGAAATCCTTTGAGATGGGCTGTAAGGCAGCTCTTAAGAAAACTGGGTCATGATTGGACTCAAGGATCTTGGAGGATTACTCCACCCTTAGTGATTCTATAATTCTGTGATCCTGCAGGTTTACTGTTGAGTTCAGGCACAGCTGGGTGTGTAGGGCAATAAAAGAAAGGAAGAGTTGGCAGGTGTGTGCCAGCTCCCTGAAGCTGGTTTGCAGTGGCAGTGGGTGTGCACAGCCAGAGAGGCCAGAGGTTCCCTGATACCAATGGTTGGGCTTGGGAGCAGGAGGTCAAAGACCAAATGGGCTTCTTCTCTCTCCCCTATGGGGCATAACATGCCCTGGACCCAATTGTTAGCAGTGCAGCCCAGCTTTCACTGAGTGCATTGTTAGTGGGAGCGTGAGCAGCTCCCTGCTGTTAATGATACTCTGCACAAGCTCTGGGTGTTTTCCCACTGTCCTGCCTGAACTGGGCAAGCTCACACACCCCTGGAGCAGCTGTTAACTAACCATTGGTGACAGCTTTAATCTTTCTGACTTGGGCAGTGTTCTCTGGGGTGGGGAGTGCCTGGCAGCAATCTGGTTTGGGGGTGCTCGGTGGCACGTGGAGGCTGCAGACTGCCAGGCACTGGGAAATGCCAGCAGGCTGCAGCTGAACCCTGCTCACAGGACACCCTTGGCTCGTTTATGGCTCGTGGCACTGATGTTGCACCCCTGCCTTTGCAGTTTCATGATCACCTCATCAGCCCCAAGGAGTTTGTGCACCTGGCAGGGAAGTCGACCTTGAAGGATTGGAAGCGGGCGATCCGGATGAACGGGATCATGCTCCGGTCAGTGCCTTCCCCTGTGCCTCTGGACCCTGCTGGGGGATTGTGGTGGGGGGAACACAACCTTTGGAATGGCAGTTCTGCTGCTGAGGGAGCAAATGAACCACTATAAATGTTTGTTGTAATGACAGCCTGGTCCCAAATGGGGTCAGTTCAATGGCTTTGTTCTGTCCTTGTGCTTAGGGAATAATTGGGGACAAGAAATATTTCTCTAGCCTTTTCAGACCTTGAAGCACACTGAGTTTCCAGCTGATGTAGGGACATTGGAAATTTTAATGGCTGTTGGTGGTTGGGCCATGCTGTCTGTGGATTCTCAGTGTGACTCACCAAATGAAATCAGTCTGGTCATCACCAATGCTCTGGTTGCAGCACTGCTGCTTGACATCACTTCTAAATAAGTCCTTGGCAAAAAAAAAAAAAAAAAAAAGGTTCTTTATTGCAAACATTTCTCTTCTCTAGTATTAACTACAGTAATTCAATTCCTCTATGGTCCTTCTGAACACTAGCCTGAAACTGTGATTTAATTAAAGTCTTTCTCTGCCTTTGGACAGGATTAAAAAAGAATCACCTCTTTCCCCAGGAATTGTCAGTGGTTTTGTGCTCTTTTCACAGGGTGACATTGCCTTTCTCTGTATTATTCTACTTCAATGCAGGCATCTCCTGTATTCCTTTTAAGCAGCTTTTGCCTCACATAAATTTTGCATAATAGGTTTAGGCTTTGTCAAGGCAGAGCTTTGAGAGGGGGAAAAACACTTCGGGGGAATGTCTGAAGGCAAACCCAGCATCCCATGGGAGCACATCTCTGGATGCTTAGGTGGTTGTTGGCCAGCAAGGCTTGGGAATGTTTTGGAGAAAATGTTCTTGGATTGGAAGATCCTGTGTTCCAGTGTTGGCACTCCCTTTGAATGAGATGTGACACCTGATTTTAGTTTCTAAATAGGGTTAAGTCCTGTCTCCTTTTGAGCTATAGAGTCAAAAAGGCAAGAAAGAAGCTCCCTTTGGTCTCACCCTGAACTGAGACTCCAACTGATCCTTTGGAAGCTGGAGCTTTGGAGGGGATGTGCTGGTGGCACCAGTTAGGGGCTCTCTCTTTCCCCTCCTTCCTCAAGAAATGAATTAGTCAGTCCCAGTCATGGCTCCTGCTGGCTCTGCCTGCTCTCCTGGCGTTTTGGGACTCAGAAGTTTGGGCTGGAGGCTGCCAGGAGCAATCTCAGAGCTCTTAGCTGTTGCTGATGTGCCTGTCCTTGTGCTTGCTCCCTGTCTTTCAGGAAGATTATGGACTCAGGAGAGCTGGATTTCTACCAGCACACAAAGGTCTGTTCCAACACCTGCCGGAGCACCAAGATTGACCTGACAGGAGCCAGGGTGTCCCTGACCAGCCAGACATCAACAGAGTACATCCCTCTGACTCCTGCCTCTGCTGATGGTACGTGCAGCCCTTCCTCACCTCAGCAGGGCCTTTGGCACATCAGAGCCCATGAGTGCCACGTAACCAAGGGCCCTGTGGCTGCCCCATCCCTGGAAGTGTCACAGACTGGGTTGGACAGCACTTGGAGCAATCTGGACTAGTGGAGGGTGTCCCTGCCCATGGCAGGGGGTTGGAATGAGATGAGCTTTGAGGTCTCTTCCAACCCAAGCCATTCTCTGATTTTATTAATTTGACCTATAATTACAGATAATTGTTTCATTGGAAGATGTTTTAATTTTTAAATAGTTCTGTATTTAACACCTTTAGCCCCTGAGCATTAAGAACAGCCCTGAAAGTGCCCCACACCCCAAGCTCCTGGTGGTGCCTCTGGGACAGGATAAGTCCCTTGGGTGGCTCTGCAGAGCACCCATCCACCACATCCTGGAATTGTGGTGGGGAAGCTGATGCTGATGCACAGCCCAGCCCTCTCCAAGAACCCCTGTTAAACATGAGCTCATTAATGGGAGATGTTTGCCAGCTGCTGGGCTGTGCTGAAATAACCAGAGCCCTGAAAGCTGTGGAGTAAAGGAGCAGAGGGACTGGATTTAATGGCTGCAACTGAGCATTCCAAAGGCTCTGCACAGCTCTGTGGGGCTCTGGCCAGATTCCCATCCATCCTGCTCCTGCACACGGCATGAATGACGCCTGTTCCCTGGCTCTATGGTAACAAAACTGCTGAGATTGGCAGAGCTGGAGGGAAGGAGGGATGCCCCCTGCATCCCTGTGCAGTGGGGGGCTGCTCTTCCCTTGCAGGCTTTAGAAACCCTCCAGACAAATGGTGGCTGGGTAAAAAGGGCTGCCAAAAAAATCAGACACTAAATCTGTTTGACTTTTGCCCTGAGCAGTGCTGGTGTGTTTTCAGGGGGGAACAGGAGGGGAATGCTGCTCTCAAGCATGTGTTCTTGTGCTGCAAAGGTTGCAGGAGCAGTCCCTGGCGATTGCACTCTAATGTAGGAAAATAAGTACAGCTGGCACAGCAGCACTTGGGTGTCTCTGTTCAGCGTTGAGATCTGCATTCAAACAGATGTGATCCTCTGCAATATAAAGGAGAAGTACAGAAATGCAGCAAGGGAGTGCTTCCTTTGGAAACAGCCTGTGAGAAAACAGGGAAAAATCAGGACCTGGGAATTTTTTTCTCTTCTTTTTTGCTATTGGTTGCAGTGAACGGATCCCCAGCTACAATAACCATAGAAACATGCGAGGACGCCAGCGATTGGAGCACCAGCATTGGAGGTATGGCCTGGCGTCCTGCAGGGGTGGAGGAGATGTGGGCAAGCAGGGAAGCAGCAGAGTAAGGAGCAGGAAGGACCCTCTTACCAGAGCAGCCTTGCATGAGCCTCCACTGGGATTATTCCTTCTGTGCTGATGGAACAGCTCTGTGTTACATTCCTCAGCAGCCTCGCGATGAAGTTGTTTCCAAGCACCAACATATCAAAGCCAGAGAGCCAAATGTGGCTCTGGGGGGGAAAAATTCTTATCAGAAGGGTCATGAAATCATTCTCCTTGGTGCTACTGACTGTAGCAAAGTGTCCTGTTGGTGTGGGGCAGGGTGGGGACAGCATATCCTTCTTTGTGTCCGTGCTCTGGGTGGGCCTTGCCCCAGCCTGGCAGGACTGCACCCCTGCAGGGGTGTCCACAGGGAACCCATAGCAGATTACCATTAAACCCTGCTGAGGATTTTGAGGTTCTCCCTTGCTTCCTCTTTCTCCAGATGACACCTTTGCTTTTTGGCAAGGTCTGAAGGACAGTGGGCTCCTGGAAGAAGTGATCCATGAGTTCCACCAGGAGCTGGTGGAGACCATGAAGGGCTTGCAGCAGCGAGCACAGGATCCCCCACTGCAGCTTGGGGGTAAGGACCTGGTCATGGGTGGTCAGTCATCTTGGGAGAGGGGCTTGTGGATGTTTTTATCCTTAGGGGTATCTGGATGACATGATAGGGATGTAGCTCATCATAGGAAATCTCATTTTTGGCTGATTGATGAGGCTGCGCTTGGGGATAATTCAGGTGACCTCAGTTCTGCAATTCCCCGTGCATGGGGCTTCCTCCCTGCTGGCTCTGGGTCTGGACAAATGCTTGGCTTGGGAATTGGGGTGGAATTTAGGCCATTGGAATAATGATGCAGCAAAGCAGCTACTGTGCCAGCAGATTTCTTATCACCCCTGCTAGGCAGGAGAGGACTGTTTACACGGCCAGTGACCTCTTGCCCTTTCTCATGGCTTCTGCCTTCTCCTCTTCCCCAGCCTCTTGCATTACCCTCCCGCAGATTTTGGCTGTCTCAGCTGGACATGTTTGTTCCTGGACATGTTTGCGGCTTTTGCCAAGCCACAAATAGTTTGCTCAGGGAGTTTTGCTTCCTCAAAAATTCTGTGTCTTGTTTTTAAGATGCTGTTTTACTCAACAACGTAGTCCAGAACTTTGGGATGCTGGATCTGGTCAAGAAGGTCCTGGCCAGCCACAAGTGCCAGATGGATCGCTCGAGGGAGCAGTACACACGGGATTTGGCAGGTATGGACACAGCAGTGTGGCACTGGGCATTGCTGCCTGTGCACTTCCTTTTGGGCTGAGAAAGTGGGGGTTGTGTTAAAGCTGGTGGTGTTAAACCAGCCACACCAGGCATTGCCACATGCCTCTGGGAAGCTTGTCCAGGATCCAGGCTGAGCCAAACCTCTCCTCTCTGTCCAGCTCTGGAGCAGCAGTGTGACGAGCACCGCAAGCGAGCGAAGGAGCTGAAGCACAAATCGCAGCATCTCAACAACGTCCTGATGACCCTCACACCCGTCTCTGTTCCCACGCCTCTGAAACGCCCCAGGCTCACCAGGGCCACCTCCGGACCAGCTGCCATCACCTCCCAAGTCCTGTCCCAGCCAGCGCAGCTCACTGTCACCCCCGGCGTGCCAGTGTCCCAGATTGCCAATCTCCCTCTTGGCAAAGTGGTCTCGGCCCTCCCTCCTTCGGTGCTGGGGAAGAGCCCGGCCCAGCCCCCCGCCGCCAGCTCCCCGGCCTCCCCTCTGCTGGGGGGGTACACGGTGCTGGCCTCCGCCGGCTCCACCTTCCCCGGCACCGTGGAGATCCACCCGGACGCTTCCAACCTGACGGTGCTGAGCACGGCTGCGGTCCAGGACGGCAGCACGGTGGTGAAGGTGGTGAGCCCCTTCCAGCTCCTGACCCTTCCAGGACTTGGCACGACCATCCAGAATGTGACACAAATAGCTCCCGGTGGGAGCACGGTGGTGACTGTCCCGTCCGGGGCCGCCGAGGCCGCCGGGGACGAGCACGCTGCCGCCGCCATCGAGGTGACCGCGGTGGCCGACGAGGCGGAGCAGAAGTGAGAGGGGGGACTTGCCTGGAGGGACGCTGGCCGTGCCACTCTGGGGGGAACTGCCTCTTCTCTGGCTGCGCTGTGGGACGAGGAGCGGTGTCGTGAGGGGCACGGGCTAGCGAGGCTCAGAGCAGCTCGTGTTGGGAGCGAGGAGGTTCAGGTCAGAGGGAAGGAGGGGGGAGGAAGGATGCCTGGAGAAGGGAAAGGCAGAAATGCTCTGCCTTGTTTGGAGGAGGGAAGAAAAAAAGAGCTTATTTTTTTATAAAGCTTTCCTCCCCTGTTCTCTTGGAGTAGCTTTCCTGCTCTGGGTTGTCAGCCCAGCCTCTTTGGCTGGCACAGCTGGAGCAGTGTCCATCAGAGGAGTGGGCAGGAGCAGGGAGAAGGTGGTAGCAAAAGGAAGCTGCCAAAGGGGGTCTGGTGTGCAGGGAGCTGGCTGCTCCCCATCCTAGGGGCTGCAGGAGTGGAGAGGGATGCCAAGAGCAGGAATTCAGTGGATGTGTACAATCATTGACACCAGGAAGAGCTCTGGCAGCATGGGCACAGGCCCTGGAAGGTTGGGTTTGTGCGTGACAGTGGCTTTGGGTGGCAAAAACAAGTGGGAGCTGTTGTGACAGTGGGCATGGTGGTTGCCCGGGTCTACTGGGGAAGAAGCAGCAAGACAGGAGCCCAGAGGGCTGAGAAGAGCTGTGACTTCTGAGGATTTGGGGTCTTTTTCTAGTTTTCTCAAAAAAAAAAAAAAATCCATTATTGGGATTTTTTTAAGCCACTGGCGATTTTTAAGCAAAGCCCAGGTTGGGAAGCTCGTTCTGCATGGCAGAGCCGTGCTGCAGAGCGTGCAGAGCTGAGCCCCATGGCCATGCTCCAGGGAGCTCACGCTTCCTCACGAGGGCAGACCCTGCTGTCCCCAGTGCCCAGCATCCCACGGGAGCAGGACACTGCCATTCCCTCCCTGCTGGGGTCAAGCAGCCGTTCTGTAACGGGGTGGTCAGCCCCCCCAGTTCTCCTACAGCCACCCCACTCACTGCAGCTCTCACCAGGCCCCGTGCCAGGGCCTGTGTGTCTCACGCTGCCTCTGGCTGGGAGGAGTCGGGTGCTTGGAGTGTTGGGGTTTCCCAAACTTGATCTGGCAACAGCAGCAACGACAGGTCACTTTATTGAGTAATAAATATTTTTTTGAAAGAATGTTAATGTTTATTGTGTTTTCTATGTCCAGGTATAACAGCTGGGATTGTGAAATGGGGCTAAGGCAGGCCAGGAACACACTTTACTAAATATAAATGTCCGTGTCCTCTGTGTTCCCTCTGGCCGTGGGTGTGCAAGGAGCCTGAAATGTGGTTCCAAAGTCTGGTCGTCCGTGGCACAGCTGGGACTGGCTGCACCCAGTGCTGATAACCACTGGTCCCCAACCTGTGGTTAGGAGAGTTTTGACACGTAATCAGGAAGAAAAGTGATCTATTCCTCTGAAGCATTAGATTTTGTTTCGTTTTGGCCAAGACTCAGCTGAGGCCATAGTTGATGAGGAGGAGTTCTGCCTTATCAGAGGTTTTTCCCTCCCAGCTGGCTGCTGCTGAGATATCACCACCATATCTCTGTACTTGGGACAGCAGTAGTGTGTCAGACTGAGGACATATAAAGGGTTGTGATCACCCTGAGCTGCCTTTTGCCTCTCCAGTGTGAGCAGCCGTGCTGAGCCACATCTGAGGTGGGTTCCCAGCTGAATTCCCCCCTTCCTGTGCTGCAATGGTGAGTGAATGTCCCTCAGCACAGGGACACCTTTCCCCAGCAGTGCCAGGGCTGGAAAGCCGTGGTGCCTTTGCCCAGCCCTGCAGAGCTGTGGGCTGAGCACACTGCTCCAGCCATCTCTGCTTTGGCCAAACTCATCTGGGTTATCCAGAGGCTGTGGGAGAGGGGATGTTCACATGGAAAGGGGGCAGTTGGAGAGACCTCCTGGCTCCTTTTCATAGGTATCTGAGAGGTGGCAGTGGAGTGTGGGGTGGGATTTGTGTCAGCTCTGAGCTGGTGTGGACAGCAAGGGCAGAGCAGAGCAAGCAGAAGGCAGCAGCTCTTCCCTGGCTCCGTGCACCTTTACCTGCCCCGGAGACCACAGATCACCTCACCGGCAAAGCATTCCCAGCGTGGGTGTACTCTGCCCTGCAAAGCAGCTCGTCTTGGGATGTAAACAGCTCCCCGAGCAATAAAAGCCGGGCAGGCAGATTTGGGCTGGTGCAATTCTCCCCTCCCTTTGCAGCAGCTCTCGGGCAGCCCTGTCTCCCTGGAGGGACCCCTGGGACATTCAGGGATGCCCCGGTGCAGTGCTCCCCTCCTGGCCGTGCAGCTCCGGGTGTGCCGCGGTGCTTCCCCGCCCGGCCGAGGGCAGCCGGGGGCTCGCAGAGTCAGCAGCTGGCGGTAGGATGAGGGCTGAGAAGGAAAAGCAAAGAAGGGAAGTTGTCTGCAGCGAGTTGTCTGCAGAGATTATCAGTGTCTGGGTGCGTGGCCTTGGGCTGGATGTGGCCGTGGGTGATCTGGCGACATTCCCCGGCCGGGGGGAAGTCCCGTGTGAGCCTGGCAGCAGATCCTGGTCTGGTTTCAGCAGGGGAGGTAAAGCATTGCTGTGGACAGCAAGTCCCAGCTGTGGATCAGCTCTCCCTCCCCATGGCACTGAGCCCTGGGGCTCTGCAGGGGGAGCCCCCCAGTCCCCCCAGGGGGCTGCACCCCTCACTGGGGGCTCTCAATGCTGCAGTGGGTGCACCCAAACTGAGACATTGCTGTGCATCCCAGGGGGACAACCTGCTCTGTGGGGTCCCTGAGTGGGTGTTGTGTACCCCAAACTGAGACATTGCTGTGCATCCCAGGGGGACAACCCGCTCTGTGGGGTCCCTGGGCAGGGCTAGGGACCCATTCTCATCACCCATTCTATCAGCCTGGTGCTGCCGGCACTGCCTTCCTGGGGTCCCCTTGGGTGCTCAAGCTGAGATCTGCTCCCCTCTCCTCCCGTGGGGGGCCCAGGGCTGCTCTGCTCACAGCCAGGTGTAGAGGATTCGCACCCAGAGACAAAATTATGTAAGGGCTGCAGATGACTCATGTCCCTGCTTTTCCCTGGATTGTACAGTGAAGGAACCTCAGCCACCTGCATTTTCTCCTCCAGGTATGCACGGGAGCAGAGTGCGGTGTTTGGGAAGAGCAGAGGCTCCCACACCCCGGCAGCACTGCCAGCAGAGCTTTGCCACGGTCCTGCCTGGCAGCTGCCCGTGGTGTGGCAGTGAGAAATCACCAATTCCTCACTCTCTGCGTGTCTCTGGGCAGGTTGGGGCTGTTACCGGGACAGGAGATGCTCCAGCATCCTGGCGGGAAGGCTCTCCCAGCTCCCAGCAGCTTTCCCGGACGAGCAGGGGGTGCAGCGCACAAAGGGCAGCGCGTCTGGCGCTGGGGCGGGGAGCACAGCGATGGTTTCCTGGGGAAACCGCTCCGTGACTGCCGGCCGTGCCACCTCAGGAATGGAAACCGAAACTCACGGCTTTCGGCTCGGCGTTTGTTTGTCTAAAATCGGCAGATCCCGGGTTTCGGCTCTCCCCCGCCCTAAAGCTGTGGATGTGGTGACGCTGCTTTGCCTCCTCCCTGCTCCAGCAGCGCCTTCCTCCCGCAGGCAGCGATGGAGGGACGGCAGAGCCGGGGCTCCCTGCGCTGCTCCTTGCTGAGCGATGAGCACGGCCGGAAGCTTTATATAACATAGTGAAAGCTCTTTCTTTGCTTCTAGAGCTGGAGGGAAAATATCCCACCTGTAAAATCAGTGAAACCTCCCGATATCCCACCTGTAAAATCAGTGAAACCTCCCGATATCCCACCTGTAAGTCCAGAGTGAAGCTTCAGTGCCAAGGCTGTTCTGACTGGGTGAGCTGGGCACTGTCTGTCCTGGCTTGGGCACCTCAGGGAAGTGGTGCCAGGTATTTTGTTTGTTTTTCACTGTTGTCTGATGCTGTCGCAGAGACCTTTGCTGTGGTTTAGAGTCAGGGCTGCAGAGAGGATGATTCCTGCCCTGCCCCAGGCAAACAGGGATGGACTCCATCACTATGGACCACTCTGATACCAGGGCCGGGCTTTGCGTGGTCACTCCTTCCCAGGCAGGGGTGGGATTGGTGCTGCTCAAACCATAACAGTTCCCAGGGCATCTGCAAGGACAAAGCTGGGGAGCCCTTTCCTGGATGGGAACACTGAGCACAGGGGCTGCATGGGGTCAGATCCTGCTGTGAGGCTGAGCCACCCCCTGCTCCTGGCTGGCAGAGCACAGAGTGCAGCAGAGCCTGGCAGCTGTGGCTGTCCTGCCACTGATCCAGCAGCGACCAGGGTGCTGCTGCACAGCCCTGGTGGCTTTGCTGCCCAGGAATATCTGGATCCCAGACACCCAGTGCTCTGCTGGGATCCATCCAGCGCCCCCTGCTCCAATGGGGTCCATTCAGCACCCACGGACCTGGGCTGCCCCACTCCTCTCCTTGCTGGGAAAACCCTTTCCTTGGCTCGCCAGGGTGCTGCTGGATAGGAGCAAGGTGAGACCTCCCTCTGAGGCTCCCAGTGCCTGCGACTGCACAAAGCAGGAAGGTCAAAAACATCTTTTCTCTTCCTCTTTCCACTGGTGCTGACAAACGTGCCAGATACCAGTCTCTGCCCCTCCTTCCTTCCTGCTCCCGTGCCTGCGTGCCCCACGGGCTGGCTCTGTGTTTCCTCCTCCCATTTGCTTTGCGGAAAAACTTTTCTTTTGTCGCTAAGGCTGGCTTTGCTTGAGGTGGCACCACCAAGGAGGTGCCCACCTGCGGCTGGAAGGATTGAGCAGTGGCCCCATCAGCAGGGACACTTTGCCTCTGGGGCCTGGATTTCCAACAGCCACTTGTGGCTGGAGGTGTGTTCGTTTTCCCCGGTTGTTTCCAGGGCTTGCAGCTGCCTTCTGGCACGAAGATAATTCCATTAAGTGGGAATGCTGGGGCTTGACCGCAATGTTTGGCACAGCAGCTGCTTTACAGGTCAGGGCTCTCTGAAGCCTTGTGTCCAGGCTGGGGAGGTGGGGCTGCTGTTGTGGTTTCCTGGGGCTGGCGCTGTTAGGGGAACTTCCTGGGATTTTGCTGGGGTGCGTGTGTTTTGGGGTCATATCGGGTTGCAGGGTTTTTGGTTCTGTGTGGTTTATCCCGCAAATTTGCGCCATCACCAAACCGCGCAGGGGGAGGGCTGGGATGAGGTGCTACACTGTTGTGGGATGGGTTTGGTGAGGTGAGAGGGGGCTGAGAAGGGGCTGCACAGCCCCGGTGCTGAGGATCCCCCACTCCTCGGGCGCTGAGCATCAGCTGATGGTGCCTGTGTGGTAACCCGTGCCCACAAACCGGGGTGCGGGTGTTGCCCCCCGGCTGCCGGTGCTGCCCCACGAAACAGGATGCAAACGAGACTCGGCTGCTGCCAGGGTTGTATTTGGGGTTTGAGGGTTTTTTTGGCTCGAGGCTGAGCTCTGCAGCGGGCGCATCGCGCCAGGCGAGGAACCGAAGGGAAAACGAAAGTGGTGATGAACAGAAAGGAGGGCAGCGCTCCGCACCGCACCCCCGCCCCCCGAGCCCCGTTAAAAGGAGGCGGCCGGGGGCGCCGGGCTGAGGACCGGGACTGCTGCTCAGTATTCACTTCAAGCTCCGGTACCGCCGCTGGACCGAATCTGAGCGCGGGGAATCCCGACCTGCGGGTGAGCAGCGCCCCGGGAGCGGCCCCTCGGCACCTGGGGGGGCAGCACCGGACCGGGGGACACTCGGCCCGGGATGCGCGGGGATGGGTGGGACGGGGCCGGGTGTGAGGCTGGCACCCCCAGGAGCGCCCGTCCTGCTGCGTGCTGCGGGCGGTGCTGTCCCGCCGCTGCCGGTACCGGTACCGGAGTCTGCAGCCCTGAACGCCGGTGCCCGCTCCCCTTGCTGCCCCTTCCCCCGGTGCCTGTCCCTGCTGTGCGGTGCAGGCTCCCCCCTCCCGGTGGCGGTCCCGGTGCCCTCTGTGGCTCCCGCCGGTGCCGCCCCCCCCGCCCGGTGCCCGCCCGGTGGCCGTGCCGGCTCCTGCTCCCCCCGGTGCCGGCGGGCGGGGCGGGGCGGGGCCGCCGTGATGCAATTTCCGTGAAGTCCGGCCCCGGTTTGAATG